AGCTGGCTGTCCAAGGTGTGCATGACGTGAGACCCGGGAGCTGGCTGTCCAAGGTGTGCATGACGTGAGACCCGGGAGCTGGCTGTCCAAGGTGTACACCAAGAAACACCAGTACAGAGACGATGATACAGAACGAATTCACAGTCAAATGCTGGATTAAATTAAAGTGAAGCAAGCTTCTTCTCAGTAGGACTACTTGACTAGTTAGTGGGACAGAGCATGCAGTTTTCTGAACTTGACAGCACAAGTCTTCACGATGTAGTTCCAATAATTTGGGTTCTATCCAACACACTTTGAGAAGAAGCACTGCCTTAGAGGTCAAGGAACAAGGTCAGAGCCTATCCAGGCACGATAATAAGGCATCATCAATCCAGTCTTCAGGAGGACAGCAGCAGTAAAGCCCCCTGGGGAGCTGGTTTAAAGTGCGGCCCTGTGCACCATTCTTTCAGCCTGAAGCTGCTGCTCTTTGTGTCACGACCTTGATGAGGCCATTGCTTACTGTCAATCAGGACGTGGCATAATAGTCACCTACTCCAACCACTTGATCTAAAGGAGCCCCTGGGCACTCTGCATCACATCACCCCTCTATTTTCTTCATAGCCCCTGCCCCCATGAGAGCAGAGAGTGCTTTATTCAATGCCACACCCCCAGGGCCTACTGGCAAAGAACAGGTACTCAGTAAATACTTACGGGCTGGGTACAGTGGCTCAGCCCTGTACTCCCAGCACTTTGGGAGATCAGGGTGGGAGGATCACTTGAGGCCAGAAGTTCAAGACCAGCTAGGACAACCTTGTTTCTAATTAATTAACTAATAACTGCAGAATGAGGAAGTAAATGAAGTCTTCTAGTATCCCTTCCTCTGGCCTGGGGAAATGATTATTTAGACTTTGGTTACGTAATTTCTGTTTAACATAATTTTAGTTCAATGTGATTTCTTATTTCAAAGACAGAGGCCATACTACTGCTGTGGCTGCTTAGCTAAATGATATCTGCATTTCCTTCGGACTCATTTTCTTTCTATGCAGACTTGATCCTACTGAGCCACTACAAGAGAATTATGTATTTTTGAGTCACTCTAGAAACAATGAATTTAAAGTGAGCTCCTCCTCCTCAAGACTGTTCTAGAATTTAGACCCCCAAATGGCAAAGCTAATAGGCTTGTTTAATAACCAAACTCGCGCTGACCTTATTAACATCATTGCTATAAACCAATTATCGTAACTGGGGATAAACTCTCAAAGAAAAAACAGATGCTGAAAATGCTCTGGGGCATATTTTATTAGAGCTTCCGATGGTAAAATTCTTTTTCATTCATTCGTTTTTCAACAAACACTGATTGAGAACCGAGGGTTTCTAAACATGGGAAGACAAAGATAAAGAAGCTTGGTGTTGTCCTCAAGGGGCTGACAGACTAGGGCAGAAGCTGGGGAAGTGAACAGTTGAAGGGGTGTTTAAGAGGGATGTGGGCAGCTCACAGTGGGAGCAGGAAGAACCGGTTGCCCTGTCCTGGGCCATCATGTACACCAGTAGTGTCCTGGTACAGTACTCAGACCAGCAGTTTCAACACCACCTGGGCGATTATCAGAAATGCAGACTTTCTTCAGGCCATACCACAGATCCACCAAATCTGAGATTTTGAAATTCTAGTGGGAGTTCCAACAAC